ACTTGAAGTTGTTCAGCGCCTTGTGGTCACTGGAGGGGATCGCGGACAGCCAGGCAGACGAGAGGGGCCCTCGACGGATCAGGAGGCGGCGCGCGCTCGGCTGTCAGGCGGAAGCGAGTTGAAGAGCTCGTTAAGCGGAACTTGTGCGGCTGGTCGGTCAGGCGCTGCTGCAGCCGAACCTGCGGCCTCGAGATAAGGACATGGAGGAGGAGAGGGAGGACTCCTGGACAGCCCGACCGCCTCAGAGACTGCGGCAAGAGCAGGTGTCGCTGCTTGGTGCCAGGACAGGTCAAGTAGAGCAGCGGGCCCACCCTGTGGCAGCCATGGGGCTCCACGAAAGCGGCTAGAGACGCCAGATGCCGTCACTCCAACCGATGGGGCAATCGTGGTTGCAGAGATGAGGCCAAACCCTTCCAGCCGGATGGGCAGCTGAACTCGTGCGGAAACCGAGCCAGGGAAGTCAGCAACCAGCGAAGCGGAACATGCGCCTGAATGCCGTGAGAATGGCGGCGTCATGTCGCTCGGCGGCTGCCAGGGAGACATCGGAGTCCGGGGGGAGGAGGCGCAGCCAAATTAGTTCAGTTTTTCTCGAGGGCTCCTTGGCCGGTGGTGGACCAAGGACGATTGTCACAGATATTCCAAGTGGGATGGGACACAATTCCATGCCCTTCGCAACGGACTTTGTTGCCAGTTTCACGCCATGATGCTGCTGTATGTGAGACTTGACGATCCTTTCGTATACGATGAGTATCGCACAAATGGGACGGTGCTTAAATGGGAAAACGCTGAATGGAACACCCCGGAGCCTCATACGTGATACTGAGGACTTCGTCAGCCGCGCCACACACCAGGCCCGCTCCGGGGCTGCGAGGTGGCTGACTGGATCAGGATACGGTGTGTATTGTGGTGCATGTCTCACGTTTAATTGTGTGTAGTGTGCGACATTCGTTCATTCATTGATTCATTCATTCATTCATTGCGTCTCCATGAACACAAAAAAAGGCATTCATGGAAACGATTAGCAGCCCTGCAAAAAGGAGGCAGGGACCAGGGCGGATGTCCGGCACACCAAGGTTTGGCTGCCCCTGGATTTCGGAAAAAACCCAGATCTGCGTGACGTGACGTGTCACCCCGATGGCGCAGGGCCGCCCTGCTTGTATACTTCCCCAGGGCCAGGGGAGGTGGTGTGCCAGGTATATGTTATGAAGTGCGTGTGCGCGTCTCGTCTTACATGCTCAGTGTCTGTATGTGTGCCAGGTGCCTGCCTCCC